CCAGTCGTTCGCTACGCGTGCCATTTTTGACACCTTTACCGCGACCACTGACCACGCAGCTGGAAGAGCCTTTGCTCCGAGCGCCGACTGCATGAGGTGCAGCCTCTCAGAGTTTGCTTTCACGTCATCCATCGCCATGTTTTCCCGTGCACCGAGCGCTGTGTTTGTTGTCAGAGCGGTCAGCCAGCTCTCAGCAGATCAAAAAAAGACGGCAAGCACCGTGCCCACTAAGGTTCACGATGCAGATTTTATTGGGGTGTGCTGGGGCAGTGCGTCGGGGCAATGGACCTGTCCGTACGATTGGCAAAAAGCCGCAAACATACTTGGACGCCTATGTGTCCTCACGTGCACCCGAGACGGCTAGCACTTCGGCTATAGGATCCAGAGCTGTCTGGCTTGGTCATGGCATTCCGCTCATAGACACCAATCGCGCCGTCCCTGGGATATTCATTTCCGCACTCTACAGCGATGATCCTACGCCTGGCTTGTCCTTGCGTTTGTGGGACGCAAAGTGAGTCGAAAGTGCCGTGCACCCCACAACAATCATGACTCGAGCTTGGGTGTCAAAGACGCCTGGTACTCGCGTGCCATACGTCGGTAGTAGTCGGAGGGAGCGTGCTCTTGGCATTTACAGGCTGCCAGTCGTACAGGCCATCGTCGGCTTGAGCGAATGCAAGAGCCGCGGCATCTTACCCGTGCACAAGGACTGGTCAAGCAGCTGACGTTGCGGATACGCGTTTGTATCCAGGAGCGGGCTTTGTCCCGATGACATCCGAAAGGCATCGGCGTCTTAGTCGCCAAGGATAAAGCGCCGACCAGCCGCATCTGGGGGACTGGGGTACTAACTAACGATCCCCAGTGGGGACGGAGGCGGCGTCATGAGCGTTAAAACGCACCATGTGAAGCGCGGCTTGTCTGTGTGTCCTAGCACACGACTAGCCCTGGCATGCAATCCACTCTCGCGAATTGTGGTCTTTATAATCTTCGGACCCCCCCAGGCCCCTCGCGTGTGGTAGGAATTGTCAACGCTATTTGCAACCCATCGTGCCTTCAACGCAGACTCCAGACATCCACATCTCGTAGCCATGTCTGATTATTCTGCATCTCCGTCCGACCATCACAACGAAATCCAAGCACCGAAACGAAAAGCCACCGCGGCCGGCCTCGATGGACATGGAACCGGACGTTCAGTAAAGAGGAGGGCTTCAAAAGCGTGTCAGTGTTGCCGAGCTCGCAAAGTGCGATGCAATGTCACAGAGCACGGCGCTCCTTGCACGAACTGCAGACTGGACGAAGTCGAGTGCATTGTGTCGGAGAGCAGGCGCAAAAAGTTAGTTCCACATTCCCGTGCAATATCCGACGTCTCCACAAACAAAACGCTTTATCGTTTGATCAACAATTTCGATATGGCATGTTCCATCGATTTCGTCATCCAACGTCGGCTGGGAGCTCGGTATTTCTGGCCTAGCCACTTGTGCTGCGCTGCACCTATCACAATCACCGAGAGCATTTCAGCCAATGGCTGTTGATGCACCCACACCAAATGTGCGCCTCGTACGACTACTGACAGCTGCAGGAAATGGAGCAAAGATGACGACCAAGCCACAGAAAACGCAAGCGCGACTGCACCTGCGACGCGCAAGATCGCATCGCGTGACGCGCTGGACGGTGCGCAAACCTTGAACCGAAGCTCGTCGCGAGGATCACATGAGGCGGAATCAAGGCGAGATGAGCATGTGCCTCACTCGATATGTATGATTACTGCATCACGGCATCAGTCGTACTGGGCTAATCGCAACACAGACCAAAGTCATGGCCATCGTATCAACTCCGTCGCCAGTATCTCAGATATCCAGCGCCGACTTTCCATCACGTCACAAATCAATGGCTTGCCTACACTACCATTTTCGCCGTTTTCCAACGAACCACGAGCACCCTTTTTTGGAAGCATACCACAGAAACCCGCCCCTGGAGAGCTACCCCGATTCATCAAACCTCTCCCGGCGAAAATCGGACCTGACGAGATCGCCTATCTGGAGAAGAAGGGTGCTTTGACCGTACCAAAGGGAAATCTCCGCGGTGAAATGCTTCGCGCATACGTCGAATTTGTCCATCCCTATATGCCACTTCTGGATCTGCATGATTTCCTGTCCATGGTTGACAAACGAGACGGAAGCAAGGGAAAAGTCAGCTTGATCCTGTTCCAGGCCGTCATGTTCGCCGGATCGGCGTTTGTTGACATGGAACACTTGCGCACGGCGGGTTACGCTACTCGAAAAGACGCTCGCAAAGACTTCTTCCAGAAGACTAGAGTAAGTTGAGACCCTTCTTCGGATATCTTGGCAAGTCATGGGCTTCGGCCGACTAGACCCAAACACTATCGGGGTGATTCGGACACACCGATTTTCCGAGGACATGCCGACATGTGAAAATCGACGGACCTACAATGGGCCGATAACATGTGAACACCGTGCTAACTCTGCTACCAGATCTTGTACGACTTCGATTATGAGTCCGATCGCGTTTCACTAGTCCAAGCACTGTTGTTGCTGACGTATTATTACGAAACTCCCGATGATCAGAAAGACACCTGGCACTGGATGGGCGTCGCTACATCGGTTGCTCACACCATCGGATTACATCGCAATCCGGACAACACCAACCTGGACAGCAAGCGCGTGAAGTTGTGGAAGCGGATATGGTGGTCAACCTACATGCGCGACCGACTTATTGCACTTGGCATGCGACGCCCTACACGGATAAAGACCGAGGACTTCGACGTGCCCATGCTGACGTTGGATGACTTTGAGATTGCACCTCTTCCGGATTCGATCACTTGCCTGCCAGCTGACTGCCGTATTGCGAGGGATGTGGATGCGCAGCGACAACTAGCTATCATGTGCATTGAGAAGGCTAGGCTGTGTCTGTGCATATCCCATGTGCTTTCTAAGCAATACTGCGTATTGAACAACAACCACGGCCTACAAAATGACCGTACAACCATGATGTTGCTCCCGAAGAAACTAGATCCCGAGACTAGTGAGGTCAAGGCCTGCGATGAAGAGCTCCAAAAATGGGTATCAGAGCTCCCAGAAGAAGCCAAGTACACGGACACACCCAGCGGCGAAGCAGCCATCGATCTTGCAAGGTCACTACTGCACATGGTCTTCTTCACCACGTTGTCAGCGTTGCATCGGCCGCAGGTTCTACCAAATTCACAAGGCGGCCCAGCCAGCGCTCCGACAAAGGAGAATGTTGAGTCTGAATTGCTCGATGTCTCGCGCCGTAATGTCCGCCGGGCTGCTTCAGCAATCACATCGATAGCTCAGCGTCTAGACGTGGGTGGTCTCGTCAAATACCTACCGACCACAGGTGTTACGGTTCTGCTACCAGCAATCATCATCCACCTGCTTGACATCAAAGCTCCAGAAGAGGAGACTCGTCGAACTTCTCTACGTGGCTTCTGCCAGTGCATGGCTGTTATGGGTAAACTGCGGGATCTCTACGCTGCCGCCGACTACTCAGTAGCCTTTCTGGAAGCCGCTATCCGCAAGGCAGGTATTCATGTTGCTCCTGTAGGAGCCGCTCCAGCTGCGCCAATGCCCAAGCCTTCGCCCGTCACTACAGTCGAAGATCTTGTAGACGCTGGAAGGCGAATGGAGATGATCAACAACGCGACTACCGGAACACAGAACCTACGTCCTTCAACATTGACACCGCCGCCAGACAACGGTACCACCAACATGCACGCTCTCGAGAAGCAGCACGACCAGCCTAATGTCACCGATGAGGAAGTCGCTCGCCGTCTCGAAACATTCCTCGCATCTACGCCACCAGAGTCCGATCACGAGCATATGCCCAGTATCACTATTGCCGGCGAGTCACACATGGATGGCATTACGGCTTCTGCGTCGGACTCGCACACGCACGACAACCTGAACTCGATGGCTTTCAATAAGTGGAGTACGATGGACCTTCCTGCGAATCCATTTACCAACAACATCAACCACCACCAGGACGACGAGATGCTGTTCTCCAGCTTGCCACTCAATAACGAATTCGACGACGGCGATTTTGACCAGCTGCTCAACTTAGATGCAGTCGGCGAGGCATTCAACTTCGACGACTCAGCTCTTGACGCCAACATGGGCATCTCAGGGGGGCTAGGAGATGTAGACTGGCTGAACACTGGTAACGATCTCACCGCTGAGGCATAAGACGACCATCTCGACCATTCTCGTATGATGTCACGATTTTCTTTCACGGAACGGAAAAGTTTAATCACGGGATTTCCATTGGATCTGTGGCATTGTTCTCTGCGAAGATATCCATTTCCTAGTCTTCTATTTCTGCGTACATCTTTCTATCAGATAATGACCAAGGGAACTGGATCGGTTGGGGAAAACACGGTTGTCAACGATCAGGAAAGACGTTGGCTCCTGGAACATGTTATCCAGCATGACGTTATGAATTGAACTATACACATGATCTCTCATTCCAAGCTTTCCTTGACCATGCAGGTGACTGTGAATCACGATGCTTATACTCTAACTAGCTCGGCACACACATACCGTTTGATATGCATGTTCAATGCACAACGGCACACCACATCGAAAAGACCAGCGGAGCCTAGTCCGGTCCAGAATCTACCGGTGACTAGTCCTGGTTATCGGATGGGGTGGACTAAAATGGCGCGTCGGATGGAGTCTATTCGCGAGGGCTTAGAGCTAGACCCCAGGATTCTATGATCCGGAGGAAGGTCCGGAGATGGGATATCTGAATCACGTTTGTGGGGTATGGCAGATGCGGCATACGATAACGATTGTACAAAAGTAGTCTTGCTAGTGTTCTTGGGTCGATGGATATGTATGTACAGTAGTCTAGCTTACTGGTAGCAGACGCGCGATACTACTTTCTCCAAACCATCCACAGATCTACTAGCGGTAGTGGAAATTGCGCGCGGGCTGCGTTCGTAGTCCTGTACATCTCCATCCCACATCATGGCCACTTTCCATCCCTTTCCACGACTTCCTCTCGAGCTCCGAGAGCAAATCTGGAAGGACACCGTCGAACCGCGAACCGTCGACGTGCGGCGTGTTCGACACAGGTGGTCTCAACGCCATGGCCAGCTCGCATCGTCTACGCCCATACCAGCTATACTACAGTCCTGCCGGGAAGCGCGAAACCTTGGATTGTACAAGCGTGTCCACTTTGAAGTTGACGTAGTAAAAAAATTCGAGAACAACCACGCGCCGGAAGTCCTCATCGAGAAATTCTTCACGCCTGAGGAGGAGCGGGGAGAAGAAGAAGGGCCCAAGGAAGTCGAGACCGAGCAGCGCTATATATGGCTGGATCTCGATATCGATATGCTGGACATCGGCACTTCTACGTTCTGCGACTACATTTCCATCGCATCAGCCGTCAAGCGCCTCAAGTTTGAGCGAGACGACCCACATGGATCACCTCTGCATGAACTCATGGATTTTGTTAGTGTAGACGAAATTCACATTGTCTGCCCAGATGGCTTCTGGGTGTGGGCTGGGGCTCTATATAATCATGACTGGCCCTGTGCTGAGGAAAAGCTTGTGTTTATCGAGCCATTCAGTAGTCAAGTTGCGCGTAGCATAGAATTCGAAAATGTATGTAGACAGGACCTGGAGGACGACAAGTCTTGAGGCTGGATCAATGGTCTTGTCTTTCTTTCAGGCTGTCACTAGAGATTTGATGTTATTAGGAGTAGAAAACATGCCACCACATCAAGCCAAAGCAGCCTTCCTAACCATATCCCCTACCTCCCTCACATTCCTAACAACCCCCTCCAAAAACCCTCGTACCAACGCCCCAACATCCCTAACCCCCAACCCACTCCGCCAAAACCTCCACGCACCCCCAACAGCTAACACGACCGCCAACGCCCTAACCAGCCTCCTCGCCCTCATCCTCGCAATGCCCTTGCGCGTGTACTCTATGTTCCAGTCATTCCACTTGACAAACGTACACCTCCGCCAAAATTCAATCTGAGTATAAGGATACACAGTCGAATTCCAGCCGTCGCCGGTGAAATACCAGCTTGAGCAACCGCTCTGCCAAACGGTGTTTTTAAGGGCGCGTTGCATTTCGGCAGTGTAGGCGACTTCGGCGGAGTGCTTGACGTCGATTGTGCGGGCTTCGTTGTGGAGGAGGAGGCGGATGAAGTTTAGGGAGTAGTTTACCATGTCTGCGATTTGTGTTAGCAACGTTCTTGATATGTTTGTATGGTGAGTGTGAGTAGAGAGGGCTTAGACGTACTCTCGCTTGCCATGACAACGCTAGAATGCCCAGTTGCAGTATTGGGACCAAAGATCATCATGAAGTTGGGGAAGCCGTCGACGGCTGTGCCTTGGTAGGCTTGAGCGCCTCCTCGTTCTTCCATTACTTGGACTAGGTCTTTTCCGCCTTTGCCGATGACTTTGAGGGGGTGGAGCCAGCGCGTTGTGTCGAAGCCGTTGGCTAGGACGATGACATCGGCGGGGATTTCTCGCTCGGGGTAGTCCTCTTCCTTCGCGTCCTTTGGATATGTAGCGCCGGGGCCGATGACAACGCCGTGCTCTGTGACTCTGTTCATCGGCTGTGTAGTTAATTCGATCTTTGGGTCGTTCAGGCTGCGGAGCCATCGCTTGTCGAAGATGCGTCGTTTGCAACCCACGCCGTAGTCTGGTGTTAGAATCTCCCAGTACTTTTCTGGAGTGCGTTTGCGCATGTTCTGGAGGACCTTCTCTTCGTAGAGTTTCCGCTGTTTGTTAGCGTATGGTGTGTTGGGGAAGATCTTGAGGAAGCCTGATTCTGCCGTGGCGAAGATGATGAAACGCAACAGCTCTTTGAGGCCCGGTACGTTCTTCATCAGCTTGGGACCGTTCTTCTCCCACCACTCGTCACCACCGGGCGCGTGAACAGCTGGAGTCACCCAGGGTGGTGATCTCATCAACTGGGTGACCTTTGTGGCGTTGTAAGGCGCATGGGGTAGAGGAGGAACAAGTTGCGCGCTGCTGCACCCAGTGCCAACAACGACGACGTTCTTGTCTGTGAAGTCGACGCTTTCATCCCACCTCGCCGAATGGAACATCTTGCCCTTGAAGTTCTCGATGCCCTTGATTTCGTCAGGCCAGCCCCTGGGTTCGACCAGTCCTCCCACACAGCTAAGCACAACCTTGGCTTTCACAACTTCCATCTCCGAGTATACGGCATGCTCGCCTTTTTCTTGCGCGATCTTCATGCGATCCTTTGCTGACAGGTCACCCATGCCTGAGATCATGCGACGGAGAGTAACCTGCCATAGCTGCTCGTCTTCTAGCCATTTGCAACTTTCAATATCCGTGTTGAGCTCGAATTTGTCCGTGATGCGGTATTTCTCGCATACTTCGTGGTAGTAGCGTACGATTTCTTTGCCGGGCGGGTGGAACGAGGACCAGTTGGGGTTTTGGGCGAAGCTGAAGGAGTAGAAGACGGCGGGTATATCGCTGTGTGGCTGTTAGTCTTGTGTTTGTGGCACGGTGGCGGCTGAATTCAGAGGCCCTGGTTGTGACCACCTGCATGTCTTCGGGGAGATCGCGGACTTACCAAGCGACACCGGGGTACCGATTGATCCACCAGGTTCCTCCAATGCCTGCTTGCCGATCGAATACGCGAAACTGATCAAATCCAAGTTGCTGCTTCAGCTGGCAGGCCATAGCAATGCCAGATGCGCCTGCACCGACAATGATGACGGGGTAATATGTGTAGGCATCCTTCTCGTACCCATTGACACGTCTTATCGATTCGGTGATCATCTTCGCAAGCAGTCGGGTTGCTGAGAGGCTGTGTACGCAGACGCTCCAAGGTTCGCTTTGAGCTTTAACGCAGCGTACGAGGCGTGATTATGAAGCCAACGACAGCTTCTTGGAGACTAAACTTTAGCCGGGCGCCTTATTCAATGGTCGAGCTGGTGAAGACCTCGGAGAGTCGATCGCATGTGAAGATGGAGTTGACATGACAGCAGCCCTCTGATGGAGAATCATCTTGCCAATGGACGGGACGTTCGTCCTCCATAGTGCATCGCGTGGGGCGAAACTGTCTCCTGAGCCTCGGTAGAATGGCATGAACGCGTTAGCTTTGCGAGACGGCACGTCATGTCACGACGGACATACGGCGACCTTGGTATTCCGCGATTCGTCCTGTCTTTGAAGGATTCACATGTTCATGGCCAGACCTCCGCACAAGCTGAAACTCAGTTCCGTCTCTTGCTGCAAGACTGTATAGCCGATAGGTCAGCGAATTGATACCTCTTAATCCTCTCAAGGTTGAGTAGCAGCGCTCTCGAGTCATGGATGGGAGACGCTCGCTGTCAACTTTGTTATTTGGCAAATACAACACATCCATAGATTTCAGGCAAGGCGGGAAGTCACGTCGTTTATGTATGTAATGAGGCTGAACAATATATGGGTCTTGTAAGCCACAAGTCTATGGCTGCGCCGCTGGCTGACATGTAGCCAATAACCAGACCCATTCTACCGAACAAGCTCGATGATCGTTTTCTTGGACAGAGATCTCTACAGGCTGCATCCAATTCATGTAGTGGTGCTCAATAATTACCCAAACAAGTAGGAGGTCTTGCCTGCCCCCGGGGCCAGGTGTAACGCTCTCACGTGCTGACGCGGGTAGCGCACGGGCGCATAATGTTAGGCGGTCGCGAACTTCCGAGTTGACCTCATCAACTGAATTCAGCAACGGCTAGGCCCTCTACACCAACAAGTTGGGCCTTTTGAGCATGATTTATTCGCCTTTCTGAACCATGTACTGTCCTTGAATAGGAAGTTGTCACCTCGAATCTGCGCAGAGAAGGACGTTCCAGCGCAATGAATACCATCGACGGTTCCGACCGTCACGTCAAGACAGACGAAGGCACGCTGCTGGAATACCTCAGCTAACACGGACATGACTAATACTTTCCAGCCCCTCCGCCGTCATTGCTTGCGATCGTGCTCGACACCAACCCGCATGCGTGGGCGCATCTATCCTCGACCCTCTCACTCTCGGCCGCCTTAGCCAACATCCTCGTCTTCATCAACGCGCACTTGGCCTCGGGAAACGCCAATGAAGTTGCCGTGATAGCTTCACATTCGCACAAGACGACATTTCTCTATCCGACTCCTGCAGAGCCGCAGCCTCAAGTACGGGGTGGGGATACAAATGGGCATGCGCAGACGAATGGACATGGAAAGGACAAGGAAGGCCACATGGCAGAGAGTGCGAACAAGTACCGGCCGTTCGCAGTTGTAGAAAGTGCTATCCTACGCAACTTTGCCAAACTACTCAACGAGACGAAAGAGAGCCATCTGGAAGCAACACCAACCACGCTCATCGGCGGGGCCCTCTCAATGGCCCTTACCCACATCAATAAGCAGACGATCCTGCATGCTCCCACGGCCGCCTCCGCCGAGAGCACATCTCTCGCGGCACTCGCCGACTCGGAAAACACGCACGTCGACCGCGTGCCCCTCACATCTCGCATCCTCATCGTATCCGTATCCGGCGACCTTGCGAACCAATACATACCCGTCATGAACTCCATCTTTGCCGCCCAAAGAAAGCGAATACCTATAGATATCTTGAAATTGGCTGGCGACACTGTGCTACTGCAGCAAGCAAGTGATGCGACCGGAGGTGTATACATGAAGCCGGATCGCCCAGAGGGTCTGCTACAATATCTGATGATGGCATTCTTACCAGATGTAACAGCACGGACAAGCCTCATAGTCCCTAGCGCCGGCGGTGTCGATTTCCGTGCGGCGTGTTTCTGCCATAGGAGGGTTGTTGACATCGGTTTTGTCTGCAGTGTGTGCTTAAGCAGTAAGCCAAATCGAACATGCCATCCCACTCAACACAGTGCTAACCTCCATCAGTCTTCTGCAACCCGGATCTTCCTGATAACCTGTGCCTGACGTGCGGCTCCTATCTATCGCTGCGCAGTGCTGTCATGAACCCACCGGCATTGATCCCACGGAAAAAGAAAAAGAAGAAGAAGGCCGGGACGGATTCTGCAACACCAGGGGCAAACACTCCTGTAGGATCTGGTACTCCACTCCATGGTTGAGATACTGATCTCGGATCTGGAATCCATCCCACCAGATCCCATGATTTACCGCGTTACACCTTTCTCGGATGTGTATGCATATCTGCTACACTCCCCGGCCCGTGGCGTAAGCTAGTTCCACCGAAAGACGCAAATTTGCCCACGGTTATGGGGAATGTGGAGACTTTGACGGTAGGCGTATTGAGCCACTAGGACGGCTGTACGACAGCCTTCCCCTTCGAATCGGAAACCGTGCCAGCTTACTTTGTTCTCCGAAGCCTCGCCTACGCAAGTGGCTCTATGACACCACGCGCGCTTGCAATTCTATGTGGGGAGATCTCTCAACGCAGTGTTCAGTTCACGGCGGCATGATCCTTTTGCCGTCGACACAGACGTTTCAACAGCCATGCGTGCGGTATTAGTTCTGCTGATTACTCGCCTGCCAAAGCGTCGGCCGAGCCCGTAGCATTGGAGGATCATTTGGCTTCCGAGAGACTCGGTGCAATTAGTTGGCAGCACAATCAAGCCCAAGATGTGGAAACATCTCCGCGACAATGCCTAGAGTAGTTCCTCAAATGAAAGCTCAAG